CTCCTTTCTTCTGCTCGAGAGAGAACCCTCAATTCTTCACGGCTGACTGATGCCCGTCAGCCCAAAGGTTTTTGTCCAACCTGCAGCTGCCTCCGTGTCCCGTGCTATCTGTGCCCATCGTTCACGGCCTCTGCTTCCTGTCATCCCCTTGCAGTAGACTGTTTGCCCTTGCTGCTTTCTTGAAGCAAGGTCACCACGCTTGGGGTTGTTTTCAATGAGCCTCACCCACGATTCTCTTCAGGATTCAGCACTAGGGTTCTTGCCTTTTCTTTACCTCACCTTCCCTCAGTGACAATACGTTTTATTATTTCTCTTTTTCTGTTGTGTCTTTTCCAAGGATTCATGCTTAATTTTAATTTTTTTCTCTAATTTCATTCTGCTCTATCGTCCTATCCTCAGCTGGTGGATTTCAGCTTTATAATTTCAGAGACTTCCCTCCCTCTCTAGGCTTAGTCTCTAGAGTTCTCTCTCGAGCTCAGTCTTGCTTTGTGTCTCTGCTAATCACCAGACATTGCTACTTGCATGTCCTAGAGCAAACACTTTGAACTGAGTGTATCCAAAACAAAACTTTTCTTACCAAGCCAATTTCTATGCTTCAGCTTCGGTGTTTTAGGATCCTGCCTTTATATCAAGAGCTAGAACATTGCAGTTACTCTGCAAATATGTTCTGAAAGAATGAATGACTTCTTAGAGTTACCTGGATGGAATTCCGAGGCCCATCTTTGACTTGATCTCTACACCTGGGCCACGTTCAGTTTGCTGCTGAGGCATATTAGTTCTGTGTCTAGTGTGTCCCTTGTATGCCCTTCCTTCTTTCGCACTGCCATTAATTGGCTATTACAGTAGGCGCCTAGCCACTCTTTCTCCTTGTCTTTTTTGCATGTTGCTATTACAGTAATCTTGATTTAATGATGACTAGTACATTCCAGGCCTCTAGGACTTATGGAACACTTACTGTGAACTCCACTATTTCTAAGTTATTATATATATGTATTTGTGTATATATATATATATATATATGTATGTATGTATATGTATGTATATATATACATATATACAACCTTTGAGTTACTATGTTATACATGTAAGTAAAACTGAGACCCAGAGTACTGAGGGTCTTTCAAAATCACAGAGCTAGTAAGGGGCAGAGCTGGAATTTTGAAGCTGTTGCATTCCAGAGTTCAAACTTTGATTACTGTGCTGTGCTCTCTCCCACAGAATAAGTAACTGATCATGCTGTTCTTATTCTAACATCTTACATAGCTCATTTCTGCTTTTTTGTGTGTGTGTCTTTTTCAGCAGTGGAAATTGAACCCAAGGCCTTTGCACTAAGCTACATAACTAGCTCTTTTTATTTTTTATTAAGACAGGGTCTTGCTAAGTCACCATCTTGCCCAGGTTGGGCTCACACTTGGAATCCTTCTACTTCAGCCTTCCAGAGTGCTGGGTGTGTGTCACCGCACCTGGCTCATAGTTTATTTCAAACACAACTGGAGTACCTTTGACTCTTAAATTCAGTATCCTCTGTGAACTGACCCCATCTCTGATATTTTTTTCTATGCCAGACTGAATTCTTCTGTTATGTAAATTGTATATCCCTCCCAGGACTGGCAGTATATTTCAGTAGTACAACACCTGCCTAGCATGCATGAGGCCCTGAGTGCATTCTCCAGCACCATCAGAAAAACCCCTATCCCCACTCCCAATAATTACCATATTGTGTTTGTTGTTTTGCTTGTTCATGTAAATCCAACTCAAATGTCTTATTTTTCCATTGGATTGCCTTTATTTCCTCCTCAGAGCGTGTTCTCTGGCACTTAACACTTTTAGTTTATATTGTAATTATTATTTTATGTTTTATCTCCCCTATTAGGCTGTAATCATTTTGACTTTAGGAGCAATGTCATTTTTTCCCCTGTCTGCAGGTCTTGTACAATGCATACTTTCAAATATTTTTTTCTTTATTAAATTTCTCTTCTGGAGTATTTGTTAGGTAAGTGAAATTAACTGTTAGGCTATTAACCACAAAAATTTGGTGCATTGTCAAAAAAAATAATAATAAAAAATTGGGCCAGGGATTTAGCTCAGTGGTGCCACCACCCACCTCACAAGAGCAAGATCGCAAGTTTGATCCCCAGTACCAAAAAAAACCAAAAAAATTTTGTGCATGTGACTTTTTACTGTGCTGTTTCTCATTTCCATATAGTTCAATAGTTCACCATACTAATGCACAATATACGTAGGAAGAACTGGTGAAAAAACTGTTTTGAAGCCATTTATAAGGCTGATTTGAGGCATTTGATTGATTTTAAGATGTTTTTTATATACTGAAATTTCCAATATAGAATTTTTTGTTTATTTTGTAAAATCTTCTTGTGTTTTAGAACCAGGGAAATATAGTAAATACAAGTAGTGAATTTGGGTAATAACCTTTGGAGCAATACCCACACTTTGGGCTGTTGTTTATAGTTTAGGGAATAGGCTCAAGTTTCTGTAGCCTCTATCATCTTATTTCATTCATGCTTAAAAGCTTTTAAAAGTAAGATGTTAAGGGCTGAGTCTTGTTTTTATTTTAATTAGGGAAGAAATGGGACACATAAGTTTAATATGTAAGGCTTAAAAGTAATGCATGAATTTAGAGTTAAAAGAAGTTGTGCCTTCCTCAAGAACAATATTATCTATATAAAATTTGAAACTTACCAAACAGTATTTACCTTGTTAAGGAATATATATATTGAACAGTAAAAATGTGACTGTTACAGCACTCGGAGGGCAGGTAGACCAAGGAAGAAAGCGGCACTCAGAGAATGAAAGGAAAGGCAGGTTTATTCACTAGAGGGCTCAGTGGAAGTCACCTTCCAGATGGGAGTCTGAGCCTGGATTCTAAGTTTGTTTTCATTTTTATATTGCTCTTTAGGCAGGCCAGGGAAGCAACCACAATTTTACAGAAGCAGAATTTAGCACAGGGGTAGGGAGGTGTAGGCAGATGTTGCTTTTACAGTTTATCTTCATGACAGAGAGGTATTGGCAGCTGTTTTTTCAGGCACAATGACTTTTGTGGGTTTAGCAGGAGGGGCAAGTCTTGAGACCATCAGTCTCTGTCAAGCTTTGAGACTGTTAGTCTCTGCTTTGTCTTTTGTTTTTTTCATTTCATGACAATGTACAATTGAGTCATAAATGCCAAATTCAGGGTGGTGGTGACCTTTGGAGTCAAAGAAAAAACATATATATTTTTTTCTGGTGGTACTGGAGACTGAACTGTGGGACTCACATATCCTAGGTGAGCATTGTACCACTGAGCTATTTTCCCTTCTCTGTCTATTTCTTACCATTAATAGTTACTATCATCTTTACCAGTTATACTCTGGACTTTGCTACTAAGCATATGCAATGGTTCTACTGTATCACATTTGCTTAACCAGCAGGAAATTGAAGTTTCTCCCTGATTCCTTTTAGCAAATATTCCTGAGGCTTCCCAGGGTGTTTTTCTGTGTAACCTTTCTACTCCCCTGGCTCCTTGAGCTTGTGGGTCAAGTGCTTTCTCTGGGAGGTAGGAGGAAGGAAATTTGGACTTCAGAGCTTGGGTTTAAATCCTGTTCTCTGCCACTTACCAACATTGTAACCTTGGGTAAATTACCTAACATTAGAGTTGTATTGAGAATTAAATGAAGCTAGGCACAGTGGCTCATGCATGGTTGTAATCCCAGCTCTTCGGGAGGCTGAGGCAAGAGAATCACAAGTTCAAGGTTAACATGGGCAACTTAGCTAGACCCTGTCTCAAAAAGAGCTGTGGCTATACTTCAGTTGGTAGAGCCCTTGTTTGGCCCCTGGGTTCAATCCCCAGTACATACCACAGCGGGTTAGGGGAGTGAAAAGTGGTTGACAGTATAATGTTAACTATTTTTATTATATTATTGATTGCTCAGCTGTCTGCTGCCCAAGCTTCTGCCAGTCTCCAGACAGCTAAACCCATCCTCCACCACTGACCTCTTTAGCCCTTGGTCTGTGTAGCTAGTGAGAAAACCTCATTCTCTATTTCAGGATATGCTCTTTCAAAAGATGTTTTCCCAGCCCCCAGTGATACACTTAGTACTACAGCTGCCTTCTTCATGAAGTACCAGGGCTCTGTACACAGCTGGGGTAGAGCAGGTAATGAAAGTACAGCCTCCCACCTGTCTGGAATTATGGCAAACCTGAATGTTCTTTCTGTTCAGAGTAGGCCTCTTGGCTAGAATTCTTTTGCATATTCTTTCTCACGCAGGAATTTCCACCCCTACCTGAGGCTCATTTGTGCCATCCTGCCCCCTCTTACCTTGGGGAAACTACTTGCTTCTTATATGTGTCTCAGTCCAGTTGAGGTGAGATCAGACATTGGGTCCTTTCTCATGGGGCTCCTGGGCACCATTTAAATCAGGGGGTGTGGTCCAGCATCTATTTTAAGGACTCCTCTGAACTTTCTGTGACTGATAAGTCCACATAAACATTTTATGGTGGTTGGGAGGCCAGTGTCCCCTGAGCACAGAGGATCCCTCAGGAGCACTGACAGCTAGCTCTAGCCCAGACCGGACACCTTGATGTGTTAGTCACATTCAAAGCTAACATTTGAATAGCAGTTTCCATTACAACATGATTTTCACATTAATTAGTTCATTTAACTCCAAGGCAGAGATCAGTATCTCATTTCAATTTTTCCAATGAGGAAACAGCATTAGACGAAAAAGGACAGAGCTTCCTTTTGCTCATGTGACACTCGTACCAAACTACCTTCTTGCTAGATAGTAAAGGGCCATATTTTACTGTTCAGCAGAGATTATATCATTTGTCATAAAGGGAGGATTTAATGTTAGGTTTGGAATGAAATTAATAGTATTGAAAATTGTTGAATAATTTCATTTAAATTTGGGTCTCCTTGTTACTTTGTAGATTCATGTGAGCTATAAACAATTTTGTATTAAAAATACACACACAAATGCATATATTTTTGTTGTTCTTTTTCTCAGGGCCACAATGGATACTGCTGGTCATAGCCTTGTCCTTCTACAGCAGCTGAACATGCAGCGAGAATTTGGTTTTCTGTGTGATTGCACAGTTGCTATTGGAGATGTTTACTTCAAAGCCCATAGAGCAGTACTTGCTGCTTTTTCTAACTATTTCAAGATGATATTTATTCACCAAACAAGGTAAGAATGTATTTTTGTAAATCAGAAGTTTTAATACTATGTGTGTATGTATGATATTTCATGGAATCTTTAGTTACCCTAAGAAATAAAAATAATATAAGTTTTGTATATCAGTAATTAAACCCAGTACATATTATCTATAGTAGAAGATAAAGTGAAAATAACTATAGCTAAAATTTATTGAAGCTTTGTTCCTTACCCAGATGCTAAATCCTATAATATAAATTCTCCTGTTACTCCTATATTAAAGGAAACTGAGACTGAGTTGTAAAGTAACTTGCCCATACAGCTAATACGTTGGATTCAAATGCAGACCTGTCTAAAGCCAAAGGTCTGTGCTCTTAATCACAAAGTTGTTGGTTTTTATTCCATAACACTTTTTTTTTTTTTTAGTACCAAGTCTCAAACTTGGGACCTTGTGCTTGCAAGGCAGGCGGTGGAACCACTGAGCTAAATCTCTGGCCCTCCAGAACACTTTCATAGCAAGGTTTCAGTGACAATTCTACCTGCCGTATATTCCATATTACAGTTCAAAGGTTGTTTATTTTAAATATTTTTACAAAGAATTCTTTTGCATTTTTAAAATTTAGGTAACAGGTAAATTTAACAATCATATTCTGAGCTGTGGATATAGAATAATTTCAGTCCATTCTAGGTTGAAAGTGTCAGAACACTTTTTTTTTTTTGGTACCAGGGATCAAACTCAGGTCTTTGCGCTTGCAAGGCAGGCGGCAGAACCACTGAGCTAAATCCCCGGCCCATTATTATTATCATTATTTTATTTATTTATTTATTTTCAGTACCAGGGATCGAACTCAGGACCTTGCGCTTTCAAGGCAGGTGGCGGAACCACTGAGCTAAATCCCCGGCCCATCAGAACACTTTTTTAAGGACTGTATATGAAGTACAAGTCCAACTGCACTTATATATTTTTATTTAGTTGTTCAGATATTTATTAAGTACCTATATGCCAGGCACTGAGCTAGACCCAAGTAACAGGCAAGTTATATATTCTGCTCTCAAGAAATTAATAACCTGATAAAGATAATGTAAAGCAAATAATCACAATGTAATTGACCTCTCTCTGCTTTAGTTTCCTTGTCACCCCTTGAGTATTGAAATGGTTAAGTGGATTAATAATATTAAAACGGGCCGGGGATTTAGCTCTGTGGTTCTGCTGCCTGCCTCGTAAGCACAAGGTCCCAAGTTTGATCCCCGGTACCAAAAAAAATTAAAATGTTTAGGGCCAGGGATTTAGCTCAGTGGTTCCGCTGCCTGTATCGAAAGCGCAAAGACCGAGTTCAATCGCTGGTACCAAAAAAAAAAAAATAGAAAGAAATATTCTAAAGAATAAACCCACATTTCCGCCTTTATGACAAGATTAGTGTTATGCTCCTTTGGTTAATGTATCTCATTTAGGGCCAGGGATTTAGCTCAGTGGTTCCGCTGGCTGCTTCGCAAGCGCAAGGTTCCAAGTTTGATCCCCAGTCCAAAAAAAAA